GGAAGGCAAAACGAGAATGGGTGACGGTTACACTTATCTTCTAAATACATTCTATTGGCGTGGCGACGTCAAAACTATGTTTTCGCCCATACTGGAAGTGACGACAATTCAAAATGGCGGCGCCCTTGCGAAAAGGGTCTATACTTCTGTGCAAATATTCGTCTAACAGTTTTGCAACGTTGGAAAGCATCGGAATGATTCAGAATCACTGCGGAGTTGATACTCGGGAAGATAAGACGGGCACTTGGGAGAAACGGACCGTGGCATTTGAGACAGGGGCACAACCGGGGGAGAAACGTGCTACAATCGCATACCCTTCCAAGGTCATCGCTTGGGCGACCGCGCGCGCGCCCAAGAAACCTTTCTTTTCTTCTTTTTAGGGGTGGTGGGGGGGGGGGGGGGGGGGGGAGTGGAGGGGAGTGGTGTAGGCGCTGATTGTCTTCCTCCTTTGTGGCTTTTGACAGACGCACAACGAGACTGGCAGAACAAGCGCATGATTCATTTCTTTCGATGGAGGCGTTCTGTCTGTGTATGCGAACATGATTTTTTTCCCCTTTTAGTAGTTAGTTGTTCTTGCCTTGACTCGGGTCCCAGTGGGTGCGTTGTCGTTGTATGCCCACTATTTTTTTTTTTTTTTAGTTTATGGTAGTTTTTGCGCTGATGGGGTATCAAGGTAGACAAAAAGTAAAAAAAATGAAAAAGCGCCTCGACAAAAAAAAAAAAAAAAAGTTGTTGCGATCAGGAACGTTTTCAAAGCCATTTTAGGAGCCTGCGGTGTTACCACAGGTGCAGGATTGAGAGCGTAACCCACGCACTTGAAGAGAAGGGGAAGCTCTCGTCTTATTGGAACTCTCTTTTATGGGTTTCCACGTCGCGATTGTCCTTCAAAATCAACTGTCATTTATTTCTCGCTCGTGGCTTTCAAGTACTGGAAGCCACGACTCGAGCCACAATAGTTTTGCGAAATCAAGGTTTCGCTGAAATGGATAACTCTCACGTACAGTTCGACGCGCAATACCTTTGCCGTATTGACTCGCGAGAGATGCCCCCAACACGGCTGAGTATGGCGGTGCTCCAGACCTAACATCTAAATTTTGTTGCCTTACCTGTTACTATTTCGCGCCCATTTTGAGCCATATCAAAATGAAAGCGCATGATGAAATAAAAGTCACACTCGTTTTCCGCTCGATGGAAATTTCACGCCAGCTCGCTGTCTTTGCTGGTACCTTGAGCGTTTCCCAGCAATGCGGAGAGTTAAAAAAACAAAAAAAGAAAAAAAAAACGTACGATGGCATCCTTTGCGGGATGAGGACGATTCGTCACATGCGCATTCGTCACAGGACGATTGGTCACAGGATGATTCGTCACATAGGAACATTTGTCACAGGATGACTCGTCATGCGGGCAACTGGTCTCATTGATCGAGCAGGGGACGATAGTAAATTGTAAATTTCAACATCTGCCTACATACCCTGATGAGGAGTTTCACAATTTTCCACTGTCACGTAAACCAATGGTTATATAAACTAATATTACAATACTCATCCGCTTTTCCTTTCATTATATTACGGGTCTTCAGCAGGTTGATCTCAGTTGCAGGCTTGAACGAGCAATAATCCGACTGGCAGCCAAATTAGTTTTTAGTTTTGCCTTGCATACACCTATTCGACAAAACCAACAAGTATCGGAATTCCTTCTGCCGAATGTGTACGAGTACCCCTCGTGCAGCATCATGGCTCTCTCTGTTGCGATCACCTCCATCCTTTTGAATGTAGTTCAAAAATAGTCGCTCTTCTATGGCCTCCGCATTCACCGTTCAGGACGGACCCAGATAGCTAGAACGTCTGTTACAAATTCTTTGACCTCGAGAAGCGAAAGACATGCTAAGATAAGAGGTGACCGACTTTCTGAGGCCCAACCAACATTCAATGTTCGGGACCGAATCAGAAGCTAAAAAGTTCCTTACAAATTCTTCGCCTTTGTCCGCCCGAACCAAATTGAACAATACATTTTTGGGGGGACGAACTATTGTGAGACCGGTTGGCCGCGTGACGAGTCATCCTATGACGAATGTTCCTGTGTGACGAATCGTCCTGTGACCAATCGTCCTGTGACGAGTGTGCATGTGACGAATGGACCGTATCCCATCCTTTGCACACTCATTACTTCTATAACACTGAGCCACCTCGTATCCTTTTGTTTTTCTTTCATGGTACTAATTTCTTTCTGCGCATTACCGCTGTTACGACGCTAAGTCTGTCTGCCCTTCGAATTTAAACTTAGGCTCAGATCAGGGACGAACCAGTTTAAATCAGGAAAATATAATTAACACTGTAGCAAAGTAAATCTATCATATCGATCGGAAATACGATTTGGCACATTCCATCTGAACACATATTGTGCACAGCGAATGCAATAGCGAGTCAGCGTGAAAAACGCCGCCACACTGAGCTACCATAACATCTCAGCGATTTTTGCATAGCACCGAGCACGGAAAAGAGAAAACAGTTATTCATTCACATAAACGAAGCAAATTTATTTAAAGCCCGGACACTCCGTACGTCCAATCTAGCTAAGGTTATCAATAGACTCGACCATGTCATTTGTCGAAACAGACAAAAGACGTTGGCAAAAATGATTAGACTGAATAAGTCAATCTAACGCACGTATTTTACCAACCGACGGTCGCGCGCCTTCAATACCCTTTCCAATTGTCATTGCGCACCTTGGACACACTTTGGGAAGCAATGCATATTTACATCGCCGCCCGAGGTCTCCATTAAACGTGTAGTGCTGACCCAAATAAAATGCTAACCCGACTCTCAATCGCTCACCGCAAAGGACGATTTCGAACAGGCGGTACTGTAGGTCACTTGAGATAAAAAAAAAAAAAAAGAAAAACAAGCTATAGAAACGAGCGTCGTAAAAAAGGGGACCGGCATTTTTATTCCTACCTCCGAACAGAAACGAGCGCCACCCACTGCATCACACAGCGCAGAGGCCGGACTCGGTCACCGCGCGTACATACCAAGCGCGCGCGAGGGATGCAGAAACTTCCTCCGCCGGGAGAACACGGCAGATTTCGGGATCTATTTCACGCAGCGGATAACGCGGGCCTTTTCACACCTCGATACTGGCGCCATCTAGAAGTTGCGCGTTCAACCACGTTTCGAGCCGCGCGCCATCTGGTGGCTGAAACGGACGAATAAATAGAGGTACCGCGCCCTCTTAATGCTTTTGCATTAATAACAGCTTCGCTGGTTCTCCATCTTCACGTCAAGTGGAAGGGCTCTACAATGTTTTAAACAGTCTAATGGGCACACGCATGTCAAGAAATAAAGTTTGCGGGAAAATGATCTGTTTAGAGCGATATTAACGGTGCGAGATGCGATCTAGTCGGCAGTCACCTCCTTTCCACTTGCTTTCTCCCGGCATTTTGGGCGCGTGGAGGGGAACTGGATTGGCTTGGCCGTCACGTTGAGGGGGAGTGTATTACCACTCCGTGACATCATGGACTTTGCGTGCAGAATTTAAAATAAATTACGGGTTGTCATTATTTCTCTAAAAAAATTTTTTTTTGGGGTCAAGTTTATTTTTTGACACGTGTGTCCCAATTAGAATGTTTAAAAAAAAAACATTTTTCTTCTTTTCAGTTTAAGCTGAAGCAAAGTATAGAACCACTAAGAAAGCTACGCTGAGAACGTTGGCACTCTGTTCCTCAGTTTTCTTGTCGGTGTCTCGGTGCTCATTGCGGAGTGGGCTGCGATTCGAAAATGTGTTTCCCGGGAAGTATGGGCGATCTCGCCTTGCTCTGTCCCAGTCTATTTTGAGATTTCTGGACGACGGAAAGGCTTTCCCTGTGAATTCAGATAGAGCTTTAAAATAAGTGGCAACAGTGATTTTAAGCACGTAATGGCTGAAGGGTCGTTTCTCTGAAGAGTCGTTTTTTTGGTGGCTCTAGGAGTAGCATAGGTACTAGATAAGTTGAGAACCATACGAGCGACTACGGAGCCTGGTTTCCGTTCACGATTACTCTTTGTTATCGCATCTTTTTTTATTTTCAATTAGGTCAGAATTATCCTGGATCTGGGAAATGTAATAGTTGCAGTAGGCAACAATATTAGATGTACTGCTCAGCTAGGATATTTTTATCTGCTATTCTTCATTTCACCTGATGTCCGAGCGCAGATGATACTATGAGCTAAAGGGGCCAATCAAACGGGGCAAAAAGTGCAATGTCATGGCGTGCTCTCTGCGCTTGATAGGACGAGCCGGCGGAGGAGCACGCACAGAGAGAAGGCAGATACCGGCTAGTCCTATCAACTGCCGAGAGCACGCCATGACGTTGTGCCTCTTTGGCTGCTTGATTGGCCCTTCGGCTCATAACATCGGCCGTACTCGGACCTAAGCTGAAACAAAGTATAGCTGGCTTTCTTTATAGTAGCTTGGCACTTTAAAAGAAGAGTAAGAAGTGCAGTTTTATTTTTTTATAATAGGAGCGACACAGAGAATCTGGAACAATTGTATCACGTGCTGCCTGTACTAAGAAAACAGGTGAGCATTAGAAGTGGTTTTAATGCATGCAACAACGTGCAAGAGACGTGTTTGCAATGAAAGAACAGTTTTTTTACATTATCGCTTCAAACAAAAGTTTAGAATCTTTTGAAAGCAGCTTGTCACCTTCAAAAGCACAACTGCGGCTATTCGACCAGGGTAATTCTTGCACCTGTTGCGTAAAGTACACCCTTTCTGGGGCAGTGTGCAAAGCAATGTGCACCCACTCTAGAGCATAGTTGCACAACAGAGTTGATTCCATGGCATTGGTGGTAGGTAGGTGTCCTTGGCTCAAGAGAAGGAGTACGCCAAAAGCAGTGTTGCCTCGCGCTCCAGGGTTAGGATATGCAAACAAAAAGGGGCAGATTGAGCATGGGAGACGCTAGTGGTTCCTTTCCTTCTAGCCCACCATAGTCTCGGTGGTGACCAGTTTCGACCTTCCACAGGTGTGCTACGAAGGTGATCCGGAGGCAGCGCTCATCCGCTTTGCGACTCACGGGGAAGCCAACGCGGCCTACCGTTGCACAGAAGCGGTGCTCAACAACCGCTTCATCAAGCTCTTTTGGCACAACAAGGACCGGGCAAACAGCAACAACAGCGCTGGCGGCAGCAACGCGCCAGCCATCAACGGCAGCGCGGTGACGCACGACGGCGCCGCGGCAGGAAGCAACGGCGGGGCGGCCGCGGCTACCCTGCCCCCCAACGGTTCTTCCGCGGTGGCGGAGACCTTGCCTTCCAAGAACGTGAAAGAACGGCTGGGCACACCCCTCGTCGAGAAGGTGAGTTGGACGTCTATCGTTGGGCATAGACAATCTGTCGTTGGTAGGATTGTGCAATATTCAAATATTTGAATAGTACCGTAACGCTCTGAAATAACGCGGGAACTGATACTCCAGATCGCGGACACCGCGTTTCACAATGCGATAAACACACGGGCATTTGCTACCAAGCCCAGTTTGCAGCATTTCCTAAATACCATATTTACTCGCACAATGAACGCACTCGCGTAATGAACGCACCCCCCAAGTCGGCTCTCAAAATTTCGACTTTTCTTTTCACTCGCGTAATAAACGCACCCCCAACTCGGGCGTCAAAATTTTGACCCCCTTCCCCACGCGCGCGAAATGAACGCACTTTTTTTTCCTGGTGCAGCGAGGTCGCGAATGCATAAGCAGCGTGGGCGAACAAAACGCCTTGCAAAAGGCGTTAAAAAATATTCGCAAAGATCCAACGGAAGCAAAACAAAAAAAACATGAAGAGGAGCTTTTTTCTTTTTTTTGCACAGCGCAGTCTGGATTTTGGGTTCGCGCGCCGCCGCGATCAAGGAGGTAAGAAAGAGAAGCGGAGAAGCGCTCTAAGCTAACGAAACAGCTTGCGAAATGCGGCAAAAAGAAAAAAAAACAACCACAGAACTAAGAGAAAACGAAAATGAGTTTTTTTTTTTCTTCTTTTGCACAGCCGAGTTTGGTTACGGGGGGGGGGGGGGGGGGGGGGGGGGGAGGGGAGGGAGGGAGGGAGGGGGGGGGGGGGAGTCGCGCGCCGCGCGCAAGGAGGTAAGAAAGAGGAGCGGAGAAACCCTCTAAAGGCTGCACTCCATGGGACGAATTATGTGACGAATAACTGGCGAACGCCGCCCGACGGCACGCTCGCTTTGCGCGCGACGGAGCAGCCACTGTGTTGATTCCACGCGCAGAGGAAAAGCCGCCGGGAAAAATTCGTCGGTTATTTGCAGCATATTCGTCCCATGGAGTTCAGCCTTAAGGAAACGAAACAGCTTGCGAAAGGCGGCAAAAAGAAAAAAAAAAAAAAAAACAAAAAAAAACTCACGGAATTGAGAAAAAAACAAAAGAAAAAGAGGAGCTTTTTTTTTTTTTTCTTTTTTTTGCACAGCGCAGTTTGGTTACGGGGGGGGGGGGGGGGGGGGGGGGGTCGTACGTCGCGCGCCGGGCGCAAGGAGATAAGAAAGATAAGCGGAGAGCCTTCGCCTAAAGGCCCTGTCACATTGGGCGCGTTCAGTAGCGGCCCCGGAGTCAAGGAGTCACTGACTCCTCCCACTGGACGGCCAAAAGTCACTTCCGGTGCACGTAACTCCGGGGCTTCGGAGTCAAGCTCCGAAGCACCGAGTCCGGAGACGGTGCACGTAGAGTCAAAGGAGCTAAAATGACGTCATTTCCTGACTGGTGACGATTTCCGGCGCTAAAAGAGTAAAAAACAAACAATATGGCGGGATAAGCTGCTTCGGTTCTGTAGCGGGTGCGCGGTTTGCTCGCTTTATGAAAAGTGCTCAAGGTAAGACGAATAACGCGTTCGAATATCTTTTTGAGGTAAGGCTCTTTCGGAAAATGCATTGGACCGTATTTTGTTTGGTTTGAATATGTTAATAAACAACGCAAACGTTCATTTGACGCGCCGTCTCTTGATCGCCGTTGCACGGAAACTCGGTAATATTGACGATAGTCCTGTCCGCGCTCAACAGAGAAAAACAGGGTATGAACGCGACTTTGGAAGCCGGTTGGACACTAACGCAGAGCATGATACCGATTAATGCTTTGTTTGCGTAGCTAAATCGGGGTGCACGTTGGCTGAGGCTCGCCTCGGCCGACAAAACCTTGATCGCCGAGCGCGGCCGGTCTGTATACAAATACATTTTATAGGAAGTTCGTTACGAAGGGCAGAACAAACTTATGGCCGTATAAAAGTATCGCAACCGGCGGGGTAGATTCGCTGAGCTCGGTATTTTGCGTGTACTGACGACGATTTTTGTCGGCTTTTATAACAGTAGCTGCCTTTGCACCGCCAAGCGAAGGGCTCGATCGCGTTGCATCGCTTCGAACAGCAGCGCTGATGTGTACAATCACTCGCTTTTTCTTCAGCGACCTTGTAAAGAATTCTTCAATACCGGCGTCAAATAAAAGCGATCGTGCTCGCCATCGTCTGCTTCCAATTTATTCGGAGACCGTCTGGCACAGGGGAGGAAGCGGAAGTTGCGTAGAAGCAGGTTTGGAGCCGCGGGTTTTTTTGCCGTTCAGTAGGCGCTCCGATGACTCCGACTCGAGGCACTCCGTTCGGAGGCAAGGGAGGCGCTACTGAACGCGCCCATTGAGGCAACAGTTGGACAACTCTATCCGGCAACACGGGGAAGTCGTGTTGCCGGCGACCCTGTCACATCGAGGCAACAACAACAGTCGGGCAACATGCTGCTGCCGCCCGGCAACCGTGTTGCCCGATTTGTTGTCCGACAACCCTGTCACACCGCGCTGACGGCGAGGACAACACGGGGAACACTCCGCCATCTTGATTGTTTACCTTCGTTCGTGTGCGGCGCGGAATCGCTGGAAATGTGACTCTACAAAGTGCTAGTGCGTTCGAAGGGCCGGGAATTACCACGGTACGACATCAACTAGTGATTGTGATTAGAAAACTTGACACAGGGAGTATTTTTCCCTCTTTATTTTATCGAAATGTTCTTCATTTGCTGACAAAGCAGATAGCCCTAACCGAGGAAAGGGACATCGCTGATGTATGTTCGGGATTTACGCCACCGTATGAAGTGATTTTGTCCGGTTCTTTCATGCAATTTCTATTTCTACTGTAAAATAGCGTTAGCACCGGCAGTACCCCAAAGCGTCTTTTGTAGCGTGGTGTTGAGCTGAACTGACAGTGCTTCAAAACTGCGACACCGACACCATCGGCCAGACGGAGGAAAGCCGGCCTTCATAACAATCGGTGAAATAAATAGTTTTCAACGCTGTCTACTGGCCTACCGCTGCTACGTGATCGCTTCATTCGCCCAAAACGTCCTGGGTATTTTTAAAACAAATCAGGTGTCTGGTAGCGGCTGTTTCCAAGTTCCAAGCATCAACAATCATGATCAGAGTGGTCGTTTTATGCTTCGACTTTTTAATCTTAGGTTTTCTGGATTATTTTTATTATACTTTATTAGTGGGTGAGTAGGCATGCCATTTTATTTCACTTTCCGTAATGTGCGTGGACTCTCGGGAGATCTAATTTCAAAACCAGTCTGAACGTTCACGACCGTAGCTGTGACCATTTCGAAAATCGCTTTCCGTAACTGCGCAGCAAAAAACATTAATCGAAAATATTTTAGCTGCACGCCAGCCCTAATTATTGTTAAATAACGTTTTCCAAGCCTTTGTTTGAGTAAGACTTTATTGATAGGGGACTAGCTCTACCATCGAAGCTATCTATGTTGTCGTGTTGCCGGCCCGAAATTCGCTCAGCCAGCGATCAGGGCAACACTCGTTGTCCAACACAAGTTGCTGCTGTTTTTGTTGCCGAAAGCTGTCATACCGAGGCAACATTTTAGTTGTCGTCCATGTTGTCGTGCTGTTGCCGCGGTGTGACAGCTTTGTCGGACAACACGGGGAGCGAGCAACAAGTTGCCCGACTGTTGGACAACGTGTTGTGTTGCTGTTGCCGTCGTGTTGCATCAGTGTGACAGGGCCTTAAGCAAACAAAACATCTTGCCAAAGGCGGCAAAACAAAAAAAACAAAAACAAAAAAACAAACAAGGAACTAAGAGAAAAAGAAAACAAGTTTTTTTTTGTTTTTTTCACAGCTTAGTTTGGTTACGGGGTTGGGGTTGGGCGCCGCGCGCAAAGAGATAAGTTCGATTTTTCAGGGTAAAAGGTCCGTTCATTATGCAAGTAAATACAGACACAAAACTTTTACTTCGCATATTGAACGCCCCCCCTAACTTTGCATCCATTTTTCCGGAAAAAAAGTGCGTTCATTCTGCGAGTAAATACGGTAAGTCAATAAAATAAACCTAGTCTGGGAGGCTACTGCTTTCTTAGAGAACCCAATCTTGTTTCCTTCTTTCAATGGTACCGCGGCGGTTTCCGAATATTCGGGTCACGTGCTTGTTCTCTCGAGGAATCCCTTGTCCCGTCTTCTTCGATGCAAGCCCCGATTAAGGCCAATTTTTTCTTTGATACTGAAAGACACCCAGCTTGTGGAACAAAGGAATCTCCAAAAGAGCACCCCCGAATCGGGAGGGAAATAAAGCTCAAAAAAGGGGAAACCCCGGTCATTGAGTGTCGGTTGCCGAAGAGGACGCTTGAGTGCCAAGCGTGTCCTTCTCCTTGCAGTCTGCAGTGTTTGGGGCGGCAGCTGGGAACCTTTCGCGGACGGTGTTCAACCCGGCTGCACTGAAGAAGAACAATGTGATAAACACTGGTCTGCCCAAACGTACCAAAGAGGAGCAGAAGAAGGTGGGTGGGCCTCCCCGGCCGGACCGGTTGTTTGGGCTGCCGTGGCAGTCGTCGCTAATCGGGCATAGCCCAAGGGCAAGCATTAATTAGCCCAGTTTGCTAGCCACTAGTTACACCGGGGTTAGCCAGTTAATTAACCGGCATTTGTTGCAAGCTGTACTTCGTTTCAAGTGTGAGCAAAGTTGAAGCTTCGAGCATGGGCATGTTGCCCCGAATGATGCTTGCACCGCACGAGCGCGCGTGCTTGGCGGGGACGTCGAGAGACCAAAGCTCGCTCTCGTAGCTCCTGCTATGCTCAAAGTAAAGTTCTAGGCTTGAAGGTTCAATTGCTAGCCAAAACCTGACTGGAGCTCTTCCTTACTTAGTACAGTCGCCAGCCGGTTTTTCGAACTTGGAGGGGACCCCGAAATCGTCTGAATAATCGAGCGGTCCGAAAAATCAATTTCAGCCAAAATATCAAATTTCCGCGCATATTCCACTGCGTATTGTGCACTTCCCACTTGCTTGATGTCAATTTTAAGTTCCTGTGCAACTTCCACTTTATATTGTTCACTTTTCACTTGTTTGTTGATCTGTTTGATCGCGGTGCTGCGCTTTGTCAGCGCCTTCGTTGGCACAAATAACGAAGTTGACGCCATTTGGCACTATTTGGAGGCAACATTTAGTCTGCCTAGCTCGCTTCAATACCAAGCCTATTGGCAAAAAACCTTTGCGCTCAAAGACCGCAAGAACGGCAGATGGCCACTCTTCTCGCAGTCGCACTTGAAAAACACGGCCCACGCGAAGAACTGGAAGAGCCATAACTATGGGCAGACGGTGGCCATGTTAACTATAGTGGAACCGGCAAACGCCGCTATAGCCTCAACCCAGCTTGTTTATTGCGTAGGCTACAGGGCAAAATCAAAACAACCAAAATGGCGGTGACTAAGCTCGCGGCAGCTGTTTTGTGGCTGTAAATTGAGAAAATCGCACAAATTATGTCCGAAATATCGAGCAATAAGCTTTATGGCGTTCAAATTTCGGTCAGTGTTATCCATTAACTCCGTGGGGCGAGTGACGGTTCGGCGAAAACGTCAAAATAATCGAACGCGTCCGAAAAATCGGCCAGCACATGCAAAAAGTTGGCAAGGAAGTTTTTATCTGGAAACTTTAGTTTTTTTTTATTTCCTCAGTTCTTAGGAAGCTCCCACAGTAGTATACAGTCTAAGCTCGTTATAACAGACCTTGATTTTGATCCAGATTTGTGTCTGTTGTAGAATGAGCATGTTGTATGCAGGTATAAAGTTGAGTCAATATTGGAAGACGAACCAAACTTGACAAATCCATATGTTATATCCAAATGTCCGTTGTAACCAGGTCGGTTGTAATGAGCTTAGACTGTAGAAGCAATTTTCCTTCTTTTCCGATTGATAAACTTGGGGAAATATGAACTTGAAAAGGCAATCTCTGTTGTCGGATCTCGTTGTTGCGTGCTGGAGTCGCAATCTTTTCAAATGGGTATAGACACCATCCGGTTCTAAAAGCGCAAACGACGAGCAATCTGTGTCCCTCTCTCGACCGTCATCTAATGATGTGCTGTGCCCCTTCTCAGGAGGTGATAAAGAAGAAGGTTGAAGTCCAGGGTCAGAGGCAACGGCTGCTTGAGAAGCACCTCCAGCAAAACAAGGTGCGATTGTCACCATGCGTTTCACGGTCCCAGGACCTCGGTCAGAGTCTTGCGCTCTGCGGCATTTTGTGGGGCGCACGCACAAACCCTCGCCGCTTTCTCGTTCCTTTGCATCCTCGACGCAGGTGCTGGTGGAAAAACTGCAGAAGTGCAAGACGGACAAGGAAAGGGAGGAGATAAAACAGGTGCGGTTTTGGAAGTCGGCACGCGCTGCGTGTACCACTCGAATCAAATAGGTCGTTGCATTGGCCCTTTGCAGGGAACACATAAGTCGGTTCCTTACTTGTCGAGTTGAAGGGGTACGGAAACGAAATGACCACGAGCTCTCTACCTCTAGCTTCACAGTCGGCCAGCAAGAAGCGCAGTTCGTATCGCGCTCGCGACGTCAATAGTTCCTGCAAGGCTACTGTAGTTGCGAGCGTTGCCGCTTGGCGGCGTCGGTGCGTGGAAATCTCGGCTAGTGGTAATATCCGAGGAGTGCATGGCCTCTACATACCTTGCGCAGACGTCATTCGCGGCCATGCCGGTATGTTGTGTGCCGCTCGGCTCACTGTGTTAGTTTCGCACCACAGAAGCTTGAGGGAACCAGTAAGTGTAAATGACCGCCAGTAACCCAGCAAGTGCGACACTTCCGAGCCACGTGTATAAGGTATTCACTGGGAGCCATATTTTAGCGCTATTGCCATTGCCAGTGCATTCGGGGAAGGGGGGGGGGCGGCGGTATGGTTGACCTGGCAGAGGTCCCTACATCCTCGGATCAAGCACCTACCTAATGTCTGCAAAGATGGCGATCTGGATGGTGTGGATTGCTTATGAAGCTTTACCATAAAAAAAGTAGTAAATGCGTTCTTCGCCAAGTCACATTCGGGACTATGTAACTCCACGAGCGAGCCATACTGCCACAAACTGCTTCTTAGGGACTCGTGACGTGGCAGCATCCCAACGGAGCTTCACGGACCGTCACTGGAGACAATTTTGAATTCTGTTATATTGTTTTAAAATAAGTTTTCTGCTAGTGTTTCTGGGCTGCCGGCACAACATAGACCACATCAAAACAAAGAGATGGGTGCAAACATTTTGTGTCCGTTCCCCTTTAAGATTTTGTAGAAATGGCCAAAGATAGTGAATTTTGCGCATCATAATTTCAAAGAATGAGTTTACTTAGGTAAAGAGTAAAACATGAAGAACCTGATTTTGCCACCTATGGCGTTCGTCTGTTGACGAAAGGCGTCTGATCGGCGCAACGGTTGACAGATGGAGGCAGGTAAGAGTGAAGGTGCAGGCACTGATTTTTGATAGGAGACATTGATCTCGAGTAAAGTCTTCTGCGGCCTTTTTTGGTCTATACTCAGTTCACCTTTAAGCTGAGACGGCAGCCAGAGCTACAAGCAGGAGCTATCCTGGCTCTGGGACGGGTATTTCTAGCGCGAGTGTTCATTCTGCGAAAGAATGCTTCAAAGCAGCGACCTAGAGCTCATGTTGAAAAAACAGCCCGACTAAGACGAGCTTGTGGCATTTTCTGCTGTCTCAGCTTAAGGGTGAACGGAGTATGGGGCATGCTTTGGTTATTTTTTTGCTAATAAAACATACTGAATACCGTATTTATTCGAATATAAGGCGAGGTTTTTTTCCAGAATCCATAGTCTCAAAGTCATACCCCGCCTTATATTCGAAGCTCAGTCTAGCAATATGACGATTTTTTTTTCTTTTTCTTGGGTCCTTCAACTGCCCCCTCGCCTTGTAATCGTGACCGCCTTATATTCGAATAAGTACAGTTCCCTCCAGACCAACAAGAGAGCTTGTTGTTGTCGGGCTATTTTGGCCATCTGTCGGCAACTGCCACCATCTGTCGGCTGTTGCGACACCCAGACACCTTTCACTCGTAGACGGCTGCCATAGATAGCAGACTGGCGCACTTAATTGCATTTCATTTATTTTACCCTTAAGGGCCCGGGGCATTACATAAGAGGGTGGAGGCAGTAGAGGAAGAACACACGCGTGGAACCTAATATAATCGAGAAGAACGAAACTAAAAGCAAAGATGAGCTGTGGCCAAGTAGTGGCTGCACAAGTGAACATGGCATTGATTCCATATTTATGGTAGATATGACACTGCATTTCTAAAAAGATCAGAATCACTGACGTGTACTATGTGCCCTGGCAGATTCTTTTATTCTGTTAAGAATAGGGGAAGAAAAGAGTTGCTAGAAGTGACGGGGGAACTGGGGGTGCGACGTATACTAAGTGTGGTAAAATGTCGCAGAGACTGTACCGAGTTGAGGCTGGTGATCAGAAAATCTATCGAAGAGACAAAGGCTGCGGTGAGTGTTCAGAAGGCATAAAGAAGTCTGCATGGCCGACACACCAGCTGTACGCTCGTAGTTAGATGAATTGGGCAGCTCTCTTCTAAATTGCTTCTAAGCTGTTAAATCTATTCAGTGAGGGGACCCAATGGGCAGCTGCATGCTCATTCGTTGGACGGACCAAAGTTTCGTAGGCCAGCTTTTGGAGAGTGGAAGGGGCAGAGCACAGGCGGCGTCTGATTTTTTGAGAGGCTTATGCAGTCGCAGAGCCGGTGGCTAGTTTGAGACTTGTGGGGAGAAAAATGCACACCAAGGATATGATTGAATACGCTCTATGTTTTCTGCTCAAAGAGAATATTGTATACAGATGGAGAAAACTTGCGAGTAAAACAAACCAATGTGCACTTTGAGTGGTACATTAGCCATAGATAACATGCTTCAATTATTTTTTTCGAGGTCATTCTGGAGAAGTTGATTGTTGGTGCACTTTATTTGGTGATATATTACACAATCGTCGGCGAACGGACATATGTTAGAGGAAATGGAATTTGGAAGGTTGTTAATGAGGATGGAGAACAGAAGGGGGCCCAGGACACTGCCCCCTGGGACACCTGGCATTGTGAGAGTTGGATTCTATTGAGCTTACGACTGGAAATTGAACTCTCGATAAGAGGGAGCTGCGAATCCAGGTGATAAGTCAATGTTGGGACAGCTTTGAGAGGAGATGGAGGGGAGGAACACAATTGGACGCTTTGGAAAAATCAAAGGAAGATGGCATCATTTTGGGACTTTGAATCAAGGTCGTGATGCAGATTGTGACAAAATTCTAATACCAGTTGTGTATTTTATTTTTTTTTATTTTATTTATACATACCCTCAAGGCATAAAGCATTATAGAGTAAAAATAGAATGAAAATTGGGAAAGTAATACATAAGGAAATAACAGAAACAATGGATACAAATGACACAAACACTTGATTTCTATAGAGTCCGCTATTCAGAAAGCAGCGATTCCACTACCATAAGTAGCGCGCATCCGCCCATACCACATTAAGTGCCCATTCCCAAATTCGTCAGATCTGAGGAAGTACGCACAGTACATTTACAGTAAAACCTCGTTATAACAAAACGGGATATAACAAACTAATGGATATAACAAAGCAATCATAATTCCCCTTGCTTGCTAAGAGTGGGAAGAAATGGACATTGGCTATAACAAACTAATGTTTATAACGAAATAATTACGACCGCTCCTTTAACTTTGTTATAACGAGGTTTTACTGTATATGTAAAATTGATGACCGAACAAGCGCCCATCCCTCATTCTCTTGCGATTATTTCTAAATTTTGAGTGGGCATTTGCCCGGTATTTTAAGGTATATATATATATATATATAACTGAGAAGAAAAAACCCTTAGTGAAAACAGCAACAACGGACGATTGCTGTTTTCACTAAGGGCTTTTTTCTTCTTGGTTATATACTAACGGCTTCGGCCTCCCGCCACTATGCCTGTTGTATATATATATATATATATATATATATATATATATATATATATATATATATATATATATATAACGGGCATGGTGGCGGGAGGCCGAAGGCGTGGGTATAAAACTGAGAAGAAAAAAACCCTTAGTGAAAACAGCAGCAACGGACGATTTAATCTTTGACGTTTCGGCCGGAGTCCGGCCTTCGTCAGAATCGTCAGGCCGGACTCCGGCCGAAACGTCGAAGATTAAATCGTCCGTTGTTGCTGTTTTCACTAAGGGTTTTTTTCTTCTCAGTTTTATATATATATATATATATATATAGAGAGAGAGAGAGAGAGAGAGAGAGAGAGAGAGAGAGAGTAAAAAAAAGAATAAAAAAATATATTTTTATTATACTAATACTATTACACAAAATAAGTCTGGTATATTCTGCAAAAGAATAACCCTGACGAAAACCATACTGAATGTGAAAGAAGTTGTTACAATTTAAGTGATTCATAATGCTAGAGTAGATTATATGTTCAAAAAAGTTACACGAGATGCCAGTTAGCGATATTGGACAATAATTACGCGGTTTGCAGCAATTGCTGACAGGAATGACGCGGTCTATTCTCCAGTACATCGGGATGCAGCCGTCTATCAGTGATTGGTTAAAGATTCGCGGAAAAAAGAGACATCTCTGGTGTTTTGTTGAGTACTTTTGTGCAGATAGGGCCAGGGGAAGAAGATATCTTGAGGTTATCTATAAGCTTCGAAACCCCATCTGCAGTGACAGTGATAGGTGGTCTGGAGGAATAGGAGAGAGGGAAGAAATGTTATCTGGTGACTCGGTAGTAAAGACGGACGAGAAGTAACAATTTATTACTGTCGGGGCAAGTTCATCGGGCACAAAGGCACCATCCTCGTTCAGTAATTGGATAATTTGGGATCTGGGGTTACGGTTTTCCAGAATTTAGTAAGGTTATTTCGAAGAATGTTTGGAAGATCCATACGAAAATACCTCTTAAAAGTTTTAATTAACGGTGTATTTTTGTAGGCAAAGAAAGCACTTATCCCATACATTTGGGGAGCTAGTATCCTTTGCCCGACGAAAAAGGTGTTTATTTTTGTCATTGAATGCTTTCAAGCTCTTATTACACGATGGTCTACCAGAATCGCCTTGAATATGTAATAGTGGAATGTGTGAATTGACCGGGTCAATTATTTTTAATGGGAAAGCATTAACTATCCCAAGGAGTGGCGCCGGTGGCGTCCGTAAACGCAAAAGAAAGTGAAAGAAATGCCCATTCTCCCATTGGCTGAGCAAAACGTCTCCTAGATAGCCACTGGCAGGCGCCGCACTCGTGTCAGACGTTGCCAGAGGGGGGCTTTTGCCCGCTTGTGGGCCGGCTTGCTACAACAGCGTCTCAGCTGAGACTGGCTGAAAGAGAGCACTGGAAAGGCTGGGGCACGCTGTCTTTTTGAGGCAAGAGTCGCGCTCGGCTCGTGCACTGGCTTTGGCAGTGCTTTCTTTCTCTCAGCCTCAGCTGAGACGCTGTTGTAGCGAGTCGGCCCTCTCGGCGCCATTGAACATGCCTGAGGCGTCTACATGGTCGGCGGCCGCAACCTCGGCAGTAGCGAGGCTGCGGCTGCCTGCCCTTCACACCAGCACACCGCAGACAAACTAAGGAAGCAGAAGAACGGCAATCATGCTTTCGCATTCAGAACACGTAAGAAGTGCTTAGGTGTCTTCGAAATTTTTTTTCTTTAAATAATAAGCAGTTGTCTTCAATCAACCGTGATGAATAGGAGTAGAGAAGAGAGTCAAAAATAGATAGAAAGCTCATCATTAATACCGACATTGTATTTTACTCTTTACTCGGGTAAGCTCATTCCTCGAAATTTGGGCATACGAAATGCGTACCATTTTCAGTCACCCCCATTGAAACTCTTAGCTCGGTTCGTTATGGAACCCATTCACAGTGAATGTCATCCGAACAAACTCCAGTTGAACAAGCTGTTTGGATGAACAAACTTCTCTTAAAGTCCCCGGCAATATTTTATCGCCTTCAAGTTCAGTTCAATCTAGTGACCTTTCACTTATTCGCACCTCTTCTCGGGGTCCCTCGAAGTTTGTTCGAGTGGTACTTGGCTGTATGTGGTCCCTTCAAAGTATGCAACACATCTGACTGGTGTGTTCAGCATCCTATCCTGCCTTTCATTAAAAATGGCTTCCAAGTGGCGACAAATGACGTCGCGGAAGCCGGCGTGTCACATCGTCAAATGTCGCGACACTTCAAAGGGCCAACAATCGTTTGACTTGTGCGGTAATTTGAGAAAGACGACGCAAAAGTCGTACAAGTTTGAGACTGATCTCTCTGCGGCAGACGCTGGCGAATCTGGACGCGGTGATTCAGAAGCTGCGGACGGACTTCAAGATGGCGACAAACGAGCTCATCTCCAGCCGCGGCGGAAGGGGCGCCGTGGCCGCCGCTGCAGCGTTCAAGGCGGATGTGCCGCAGGGAGCCGCCGGTCGCACGGTGAGTCCACGTTTCTGCTACGTTGCTCGGACGTTTTCGGAAGGCTCGTCGAGGATTTTTAGACGCGTAGCACCTGTAAAGTCAGCTGTAGGCGCTTTTATGTCTGTGGGATGCAGCCTGGATGGTGGCATCACGTCACATTGGTCACGTATTGACGTCATGGTGCTCACTGGGTCAGTGGAATGGCGGTTGCGTGACACCGTGTAACACTGACGCTGTGGCATCTTAGGTCTGACGTCACCTGATGCCACATTGGGCGATGCCACGCGACACCCAGACTTACACTGACGTCGTGGACACCGTGAGGTGACACGTTGATGTCGCGCCACACTGATGTTAACGTGACATTGCGTGGTCAGGTGACATCACTGCGTCACAAAGGACACGTAAATGCATTTGGAGCAGTAAATGCATTTGGAGCACCTCCTGGGGTTCCCAGAGATTGGGCTCGAATGCACTCTGTGCCTGCGGAAGTGTGCACAAGTTCACACTTGAGGGATTGAGCGTCGGAATCAACTCTGGCTATTGGTGGTCTTTCAGTATCCTCGGGAGGCTTTCTAAGATAACTTGGGACAGTGATGTAGCTCGTAATTAGGCGGGCCAATTGGCTACTCAACTTCCTTTCACAAACATTAATTCTTGGATCTACTTAACTCGTAAATTTCTTCCAGCAGTTAATTGCTACGCTCCCTTTTCTCTGTGTCTGGGGACGTGTCACGTGACCTTGCAGTTGGTTGCAACAATGTGCAAAGTCACGTGGTAGTGGGGTCTAGGCCCTTGACAGGTTGCCTGGGCCTTTGGTTCTGTGCGGTAGTGGAAGTGAGCTTTTCAAGTTTTCGGCTCCTTTGGCTGATTCTGTCGCTGTTGTTTATTGATTCTTTGCTTTGCAATAACATTATATTAGTCCGGGGAAAAATGTGGGGCTTTCGTTTGAATCAGCAGTTCTCAAACTGTGGGTCCGCAGAGACATTGGCGGGGATCTGCACCGATGTGGAGATCACTCCGCCGGGGACGGGTAAGGCACTGAAAAGGGTTGAAATCGTCAAACCAAACGCCTCCACAGGTATAAAAGAGTTCTTACGGAGTCACAGAGTGCTCTTGCTGGTTTGTAGCCGCGAGCCAAATGTTACGGCAGGCTTTCTCGGGGAAAGCGCCGCGAGACCGCTTTGTCTGGGCTCGTTCGCAGGATGGCAAAGACAACAGACGTGGTTTATATTAGATCACATTGACTGCTTCAACTTGTCCCTACTTATAGCAACGCAAGTTGCAGGGGTCGGCAGCAATACAAAGTTTGAGAAGCGCTGGTTGAAACGATCCTATGGAATCCTTGCAGAAACTCTTTCAATCTATTTGGAAACGGGAAGACTCCTGTTCTGCCCACAGCTCAGTGCTGGTATATATCTTTGCAGCAAGCGGAGAAAGAGCTGCTGGACGCGGAAATGGACCTGTATAATAAAGTGCACCGAGGTGACGACACCACCGACCTCCGCAAGCGGGTGCAGGAGCTAAGACACCAGGTGACCGGCTGTGCTATCCTAGGCTCGTTTGTGCACTCCGTGTTCCGTGCAGGACCCCAGTCAGCTACCCTGAAACTGTGGTGGAGTTTTGTTGACCGCAGCATGGCACCCGACGGCCCGTGTGGGCATCGCGCAGTTTTCCTATGGGCTGTCTGGTGCATAAATAATGGTAGCGAGTTGTCACGTGGATGGACAGATGGATCAACTATACTCTGAGTCGGGTGGCAGCTTGTGCCACCTGTGGTCTATTGCAGGTTAAGAAAAGTAAGACAAGCCCCTCCTAAAACGCTCTCTAGTCTCTATGATTGGTGGTTTCTCCAATGCTTGCTCTGTTGAAAATGGAAAGAGCTTGTCCAGCTTTTCTTATAACCCACTCGCTATTGCGCGCGGTCCATACTGCATGTTTTTTTCCCTAAAACAGGGCCACACTAGGCATGACTGTTCTGCTTGTATAATTAGCTTTTACAGTAAAACTCTTTGCAGAAAACAAGAAAACATGTTTATTTACATGTTTAAGTGGTTCGTTCTAGTCTTTAAATCAATAGGCCCTCACGGATCCTTCCTCGTATGGAAGATCTCGAAGCACTCCATCCTCAGTCGCTTAGGCGTCGCACAACCAGTGCGCTCTTGTCGTGATTCGGACTCTGAAATGCCGTTGGAATTGCTCCCTCTGTCGACAGAAGGCTCCGAAAACTCACTATCCTCACCAGACGTCCCGTCATCATCGCTGCCGAAGAGGATATTTATGATTTCATTGTCAGAAAGGCGACACTGGACGCTGCCATCTTCTCCAAGCAGGCAGTGATCGAGCGGGAAAGACAACACACAAAAGAACGAGCTCAAACAGAGCGAACAGAACGACCCTCGCCGTCTGTTGGCAATCTACACTACCAATATGGCCCCTGACGGCCATTTGCCGGCAGCGAATGGGTTAACCTGCGGCAGACATAGTTTAGAAACCTTCACACCCCCTCGTCTTTAAATTTTGTGCTAAATTCCGTCTCTCAATAAATCATTTACCCTACCAATTTCGCCTATTATTATGACCTTTTCCACCCATCGTCTTTCAAGCGAGACAATGTGAATGTGATGATGCTTTGTTTTGCTTAGCAAAGAGTTGTTTGTATTTTGCGGTTCTTCTGGCCGGGGGAAAGCGGTGTGCGCAAGTTTTGCTAAGCTTGTCAGGCATCAAGTTGCCGACAGATAGAAGCAGGCTCATTGACACGCCTGGTAGTCGGGCAACCCTAGACTAACGGTGTGTGCATTGAGAATGTGTAAAAACACGGGCGAGTGCGTGCCCAACTTCCCTAACTTACGCGAGGCTGGAAAAATAAAAGAATAGACGAGTATGCCCGGTGTCTATGTCCCGGTAATGTTCGAACACTGTCGGAGTCAAACCGGCATTGAAGATCTTTTTTCGATGGAGATTGACTGTCGTCTGATGGTCAACACGTGCCTCGTGTTTTCAACCTCTGTCCACAACCTCCAGGGCCCGTTTGCTCGAAGCCGGTTAACTTTAACCGCGGTTAAAAGTTAACCGCCCTTCCCTACTAGGTACTTACAAGTACCTAGCCAAGTTTGACGAGAGCTGGATGAGCGATAGCTCCGTGTTTTATTAGGCGTGGTAGCTGGTGTCACCTACTGGCTGTAGCGAATATACGTGGCTTCCGTGGAAAGGTTCCCGAAATGGGGGGACCCAAAAAAATGCGCGCTGTCTGGTTAAGAAACAATTTTTATTGCTTGTTTTACAAATAATTGGCAAGGTAAAACTAAATTAACCCTTGGAAAGTAAACATATTCGACAGATATCTGCCTGGTTGGGTGAGAGTTAAAGTCTGAAAATATATCACCAACCAAAAAATGAAAAGCAACCCGACATTTCAAAACCAACACGGTTTCTTCTTCAGGGGTGACTGAAGGCGCGCGGACACAGCAGCAGCTCCCAACCTCTTCGTCTTCAAAAAAGGAAAGAAAAGAAAGAAAGAGAAAAGAAAAAATTTAAAAAAGAGAAGTTAGGTGAAACGTCGGGTTGCTTTTCATTTTTTGGTTGGAGATATATTTTCAGACTTTAAATTAACCCTTGTTTGAAAATTTTCTAAATATTTGGCAGTATGAAATGAAGAAAAGCCTCGTTGAAATTTCCTTCCGAGTTCGAAAGAGGAAGACGAAGTTGAGTCCTAGAAACGATAAGGAAGAAGTGAGCGGTGAAAGTACACTGGCAGCATGGTTAGCCGCAATGTAAGAACTGTATATAACACTGTCATAAATTGAAAAACCTGTAACTCGGCTCCACTGAAAATTGACCTATTAATAAATCACCCGAACATCGAGAAGAACGCTGAAAGTGTAATTCTACGATCCGCGCGCGCTGGCCTTCCACTTATAAAAGATTTGAAGTAAATAATCATAATAAATCTTTGACGAACGCGCGTGTACGGCAAAATTTGTTTTAGGCTTTTTGCTTCAGAACAGTTACCGTATTTACTCGCAGAATGAACACACTTTTTTTTCCCGAAAAATCGATGCAAAGTTCATTACGCGAAGTAAAATTTTTGCGTCCTATTTACTCGCATAAGGAAGGGACCTTTTATCCTGAAAAATCGAAGTAACTTCTTATCTCTTTGCGCGCGGCGCCGGACCCCGTAACCAAACTAAACTGCAAAAAAAGAAAAAAAAAAAAAAGCTTTTTTTTTTTTTTAGTTTCTTGGGTTTTTTTTTTTGCCGTTTTTTGCAGGTTGTTTTGTTTGCTTAGGCCTTGCCTTTCGCAAGCTGTCTTGTTTGCTTACGCGAGGGCTCTCCGCTTATCTTTCTTATCTCCTTGTGGGCGGCACGACCCCCCCCCCCCCTCCCCCCCCCCCCTAACCAAACTGCGCTGTGCAAAAAAAAAAAAAGAAAAAAAAAGCTTATCTGTTTTTTTTTTTTTTCTCAGTTCCGTGGGTTTTTTTTTTTTTTTTTTTCCTTTTTGCCGCTTTTTGCAAGCCGTTTGCTCATGGTGAATTCGCGTGGTCACCTCTCTCCTCTGACCTGGATTCAGCAGAGTGCCCCCTCCTCGCCCCCTCCTGGCCGCCAGAGCTACTGGGGATCCTTTTCAGCCGATCACAACTGCTGGGTTCAGAGCGCTCCGACATTCTCAGAGCAGTCACGGAAATAATATTTCTTGACATTGGTAATGCATTAAAAACAGCATGATCTTTCAGCGTACGGTGGACGATTGGACAATATTTACACTCGCAACGTGATTAAATAACTGTTGTGACATAAATTGTTTTACGCATCGGCATCTAAAAAAAGAATACAGCTGAATGCGAATTGATTTTCGCAGAACAGAACGAAAGCCAACACTTGGAAAGAGTTGTCAACTTATCGCGTTTTCTTCAGTGAACGCGCTGCGATAGCGGTCATGCGTACGACAGTGGTTAATAAAGCGCATTTTCTCACGGCGAAATATCGTGCAAGCATCGCCATGTGACACAAATCACAGTGCATTATATTCGGCTCTCCTTTTATTTTACAACACAAACCTTCGAACGCACTTTTACCAAACCTGAAAATTTCCTGAAGCGACCACAAAACCCGGTAAAACAGCGGCGAGCTCTGCGAGCCGTTTCTTCATCGGTTAGGCTTAGCGGATTCACCGCTGTGAGATGAACGATCTCGTGAAAGCACTGGGAATACTTTACACGTCGACTTTTCCTGTTACGGTCGCAAAGGAATGTCGTCCTGTCCGTCGTAATCCTCGCACCGTGGAATTCATAAGCACTTTGTAGAACTACATATCAATCGCCGTCATGCCGTACCCCGCACACCACCACGGACCACTGCCGGCCATTGTCAACAAAACCACGTGATCCCTGTCCAAGTACCACGTGACGCCTGCGCCTCTCCGCACTCCGACGGCTACAGTCGGAGTGTCAGGGAGCGCTCTGAGAGGGAGAGGCGCCCTCGGAATGAACCACCCGATCAGGCCACAGCACTCTCTTTCAACCACCCGATCTCGCGCACTCTGGGAAGAGCGCTCGAGAGCGCGCGGAAAGAACCACGCAAATTCGCCATTAGAGGGCTTCTCCGCTCCTCTTTCTTACCTCCTTGCGCGCGGTGCGCGACCCCCGTAACCAAACTGGGCTGTGCAAAAAAAAGAAGAAAAAAAGCTCCTCTTTGTTTTTGTTTTCTCCTATAGTCGGTTACAGGTTAAGAAGGTAGCGGCAAATGCCCCTCAAAGGGAATCGTATATCCCTCGCCACCTCCCTATCTAATAGCGTCCCATTGTTTCCGTGACGTCGCGGCCAACGCGCGAGGAGGGTCTTGCCTTTTGTACATATTTGCTTTATCTTTTGACTTTGACTTAGCATTGTGGAAGCCACGAGAGGGAGATTAGAGTTTTGCCCCTCCGATGAAAACAAATACGACTTTCGGGGATTAGCTTCCCCCTCCCATGGATACAAAGGCTGCTTTGAGGGGCTCGGTTCCCCCTGCAATGAATACAAAGGTCGCTTTCTTAAAAAGTGGGATCGGAAACAAGTTGGAATCTATGGAAGCGGAACAAGGAGCGTTTACAGTGAACTCTTCTTTAGACTGCGGAGAGATTTGAAACGGGCGCATCATGCTTTTGGGAGGAGCTTCTCCTACCTTCTTGACTTGTAACCGACTATAGTTCCGTTGGTTTTTTTTTTTTCTTTTTGCCGCCTTTCGCAAGCTGTTTCGTTCGCTTAGAGTGCTTCTCCGCTCCTCTTTCTTACTTCCTTGCGCGCGGCGCGCGACCCCTGTAACCAAACTGCGCCGTGCAAAAAAAAAGAAGAAAAAAAAGCTCCTCTCCATGTTCTTTTTTCTTGCTTCCGTTGGATCTTTTCTAATTTTTTTAACGCGTTTTGCAAGGCGTTTTGTTCGCCCACGCTGCCCATGCATTCGCGACCTCGCTGCACCAGGATAAAAAAGTGCGTTCATTTCGCGTGCCTGGGGGAGGGAGTCAAAATTTTGACGTCCGAGTTGGGGGTGCGTTTATTACGCTAGTGAAAAAAAAAAAAGTCGAAATTTTGAGAGCCGACTTGGGGGTGCGTTCATTATGCGAGTAAATACGGTATTACTGCAGACGCCAGCAGGTGCAGCGCGTGTAACTACACTCGTAGCATGCACCTCGGTGCTTTTGAAATTTAGCAAAAAATCTATGGGAACGCTCTCTGCTTTTGTGTGCGCAAGTCTGTGGGAGAAACGCACAAAAGTAAGAATATTGAAGCATGTACGCTGTGCTCGGAGGCTAGTATTTTATGGTGTGCTGCGATCCTTATGTTGGGTGTTTGGAGATAGAATCGGTATTTGTCAAACATTCGAACGCCGATGAAAAAAATCCAACGTACCGGAGCACCTACGGCTGAGCTGGCAAGCTTGCTCTCGTATTGGAGTAAACAAAGGAACTTGCCGTGGATGAGACCGTCCTGGGGGAGCCCAGAAGTTGATAAATGACAAAGAAGTTCCACCTCGACAGCGGCTTTCCGGGAGTGAGCGAATTCCGCGTAGCAAAGCCTTTGAGTTTGTCGTCTGCTAAACCCAACTCAACGAAACCGCCACCGACTCCACAGTAACTCTAGGTAACTCTCACTTCATTGATCTGCACTACAGCAAAGTCACTCTCGACCACAAAATATTTATTTATAAGAGCTGCGAGGGCTGCCAGTTTTAATCTTTGTACTCAAGCTATTTGAAGGGCTTGTCGAAAAGCATCCAAAAAGTTTCAGTGCCGACAACAACTTAGAAAAGGGGGAAATGGCACTTTTTTTTGTTCTTCCCATAGAGTCGCATGCATTGGCTGGTGTCAATCAATGGCCGCCGGTGGCGACACTCGGCCCCAGCTGCCGAAGCCCCAATCTGCGATCCAGCCTACTACAATAGAGATCATTGGTGCTATCAATACCCGGCCGATTGAGTCAAGGCAATCCACTTTCCAAAGACGTTGCCATGCCAACAACTATCGCATTCATTTAGGCTTAGGATTGGCCAGAGTCGAAAGTCTATCTAAAAAAATGCGGTGAGGTCATTGCTCATGCTTTGCGTTTTAAGTGAGGTAAGGCAACGCGAAAACTTCTTGCACCATTCATTGCTGACTAACGTGCCTCCTACTGCAGCTACTACGACGCATTAGTTTTAAAGCGAGCGGCGCTCACTCACCGGGGCACCGCCATGTTTCCCCGCCGTCCTTACTCTGCCGGTCACGTGACCTGAAATTCCCCCTCGTAGGGAAATCCGGTTAACCGCGGTTAGTTAACCAGCTTCAAGCAAACAGGCCCAGATGATGTTCAATCGCTGTCGGGGTCGAACCAGCATCGAAGATCTTTGCGAGAGTAGAAGGCCAATGCACGCTTTGCGTTTTTCAACTCCTGCCTGGTTGCTCCTCTTCACATCGTCCCTTAAACTTTCCCAGTTTGGGAGAGGATAAACTTGAGATGTTCAGCCTCGCAGTAAATGGAGGTTGTACGTTTAACGAGGCCACGGTTGTCTTTCCTACCTTGGCAATGTCTTATTTTCGCTTTGTTCCTGCCACCCCTATCTCAGGCTCGCGCCATGGGGCTGGTGAGCCAGTGGAAAGGCGGCAGGGGTGGCTTTGCCAGCAGGAGGGGCGCGTCGAGGGGCGGCGGGCGGGGCGGCGCCGGTGTGGTGCGTCGCGGCCTCAACACAGTCGACCACCGGCCCCGCAAGGTGTTTGTCCAGGGCATGGACGAAGGGGACAAGGAAAACCTCCAGGCGCACTTTGCGGTGAGCTCCTGCACTTTTTAGCCACCTCTTTCACGAATGGCCCAGATTGGAGGTCGAAGTTGCAGCCTCGGAAGGGTTCATCATTGTCTCGAGACATTTTTGGGTTTTATATTTGACTCGTATCGGCTGGTAAGAATTGTGTTTCGGCTGCTTTTCGTTTTCTGTGAGCGGTAATTATGTCGGAAAGAAACTTGAGTGTGTCTTAATCCCACAGATAAAGTTTGGGTGTGCGAAGTGGGCGGCATGTTTTGAGCTGCCCTCACCGTGAGAAACAAAGCTTTCGCAGAAGCACAAAAGCATTTATAGCAGCTGTAACCATGCCACCCAATGCTGCCCCGCTAGCATAGGGGATAGGGTATTGGATTAATGAGCGAGAAGTTAGGGATTTTATTCCCACTGGGGTGCAGTCATTAGTAGACAACTGGCTGCATAGAATATGGTTGATTGCACGGAGCACGAATCTCGTTCAGCCACCGTGTGCCGAGGATGCAACCCGTATAAATGCCAAAACTTTTATTAAAATAAAATATTTTGTACGTTAAATTAAGTTGAAGCAAACTTCTTCATTATGACTTCCCCCGGGTTTGGGAATGTTTTTGCATTTAATGGTAAAGCTGCACCTTTTTTCTTTGACCAGGACAATAGTAGTGCACAGGGATGGGCAGTATTTCAAATACAAGTATTTGAAATAGGTATTTTAAATACTTTGTGTATTTTGCATTTGTATTTATTTACAAATTGGGTAATGTATTTGACGTGTGTATTTAAATACTTAAACGTGGGTATTTCAAATACAATTGTAATTAAATACAATTTTGTCGGCGAAAATACACGCCTCAAATTTATTGTCACGACTCATTTTGCTCATACTAAGACGTGTCCAGAGCAGGAAGAAAACTATGTTCTGCACCGATTGCAGTGTCTCTCAATCAAGCACAAGCGTTTAGTGACTTTGTGATTGCGGTGCTAGTCCAGGGCAAGAATAGCGACGAAATCGACGTTCACAGGCAGATTGGCTAAATAAGTGCCTGTGACAACTTGTGCTGCTTTCCAGCCTGATTTCCATCCATATTTTTGCCTGGAACATTCTAAATGCGCGGGTCGTCCAGATTTTCATAACTGGTGCGAGTTGCAACAATAAAAAAATCTCTAGCTATGCTTCGTTTCAGCTTCGGTCCGAGCACGGCTAATGTTATGAGCCGAAGGGCCAATCAAACAGCGAAAGAGGCACAACGTCATGGCGTCCTCTCTGCAGTTGATAGGACCAGTAGGTATTCGCCGAGTCTCTGTGCGTGCTCCTCCGCCGGCTAGTCCTATCAAGCGCAGAAAGCACGCCATGACACTGCGCTTTTTGCGCTGTTTGATTGGCCCTTTGGCTCATAACATCGGCCGCGCTCGCACCGAAGCTGAAACGAAGTATAGTGCTGCGCGTCTTGGTCGTCTCGGTTCTTTGTTGGTCTATACCAAAATGTAATCGGACAAAAAAAGCTGCTTGAAGCTCTGTACTTTTTCCACTAATTACGTTCAAGCTGATTACATTTCTTTTTGTGATACTATTTCTATTACGTTACTAGAGCCTCGCACACTAACTCCCGAGTGTGTGATGCAAAATTAAAATGAGATACCCAGAAACCGGTTGCAGGTGCCCTGAAGTCGCTGACGCAAATTTTGAGGAATGTATTTGGAAAAGTATTTGGAGGAGACCAAATACATTTGGTTGTATTTGGATCTTGTACTTAAATGCTTTTTTGGAAATGTAATTAGATTTGTAATTAAATACATTTTTGACGAAGTATTTTGTATTTGTATTTCGATACATATTTGCATGTATTTTGCCCATCCCTGGTAGTGCAGCATTGAGGGGAAAATGCACGTCTTAGCACCGCTTTCTCACTTTCTTCTATCTCATGCCCGAAGCCACGCATTTAATATTGTTCGTTCGTTGGGTGTTCATGTACTTAGGCAAATTAGGAACTACTTGAAAGGCTGTCGTTATGCTTCCAACCACTAGGTGAAGTGACCGGCGGCTCGTCATCTCAGTTTAAAAGTCTCCACTCGTAGCTCGTAACTTTTCCTTGCTTCTCCCATTTCGCGAAGAGGTGGCAGCGTTGTGCCCAAAAGATGGTCATAAAAATGCTTCATCTACCACACGCCACTCAATCGTATGCTCAAGGACGACGTCGTCCTCTAGGCGGCGTCTTTGAGGTCGTTTTTTGCGTCGTCCGCGACGTCGTTCTATAGGTCATCTTGACACCGTACTTGGCGGCAATCTCTAGGATGTCGTCGTAAACTTTAATACTTGAATACATGTACAAACATGACTCGAAAACATTTCACCCGTGAGACTATAATGCTTTCGCTTTCCTACACATAGGCAGTCTTAAGTGTCCTGCTGTATTTCTTTTTAAAAAATGGCATGCGGTTGCGAGGTTTTTTGTCAGGTACTCTTTCACAAAGATGGAAGACAATAACTGAACAAAATAATCACGAGGGGGGGGGGGGGGGAGAGAGAGAGAGAGAGAGAGAGAGAGAGAGAGAGAGAGAGAGAGGGAGGGAGGGGGGGGTGGGGGGGGAGCACTCATTGATCTCCAAAACTGCAAAATATTAATACCGGAATAACCTTAAAAAGCACGAAGTTATCTGCATGCTTGCACTACAAAAAGAAAAAAACACGAGGTAGTAAAACAGTTACAACATTAACAAACGGATCAGCACTAATCTGGTTGCTCGTAACGTGTGCAGGGCACCGGTGCAGACATACCGTTTCGTTATACCGGAGGAGCATAAACACCGAAGCTGGATCAACTTTAATCCGCACTACGCGCGTGGTGCATCGTGCATCACTCTGGCCTAACGACGGGTGTCGCGTGTTGTACTCCTTTTCCCGCAGCAATACGGAGAGGTGGAAGGGGTGGAACGCCTGAACACCGGTCTGGTGATCACGTTCAAGACACGCAAGGATGCCGAACTGGTGAGGGCCCAAAACGTTTCTGCAGCTTTGTCTGTTAGACAACTTTGTCTACGGCCACTTGCGAGGGGAGGACGGTGGGGCTGCTCCTTTCTCCGAGCTCGGGTCGCTCGTGAAGTGCGTCGTCTGAGGTAAAAAGCTTGCGCCGAAGGCAACCGGAAGACGTCCGTGGTCTACCCGTCTCGTCGGCAACAGTAGCGTTCCTAAAAAAAGATGTTGAGCTTATGACAGGTCCGTAATGCCCTTGGACGTTACGCCGAAAAAAGTAGAGCGCCCTTTTCTTTTCTTTATTTTTTATAAGTAAAAATTGTTTTATTTGAGACTGCAAAAGATTCTTTCGATATTTTGACTGCAAAAGACTTTAAAAGATCCTCATGCCGTTTCATGTTAGGTGTGAGCAAAGCCAATGCTATAAGCGCGAGCGTGTTTTCTTGGACGGTCGTTGCTTGCGCTTTGCTTCTACTCATGGCGAAAGGGAATATAGAGCCCTATTTTTGACCATTTTCACAAATGTTAAGCAGTGCCTACCTTTTGCTAGTCTGCGGAATCAAAAAAGTGCCAGACAGCTGCACTTGACATCTTGCCATCCGAAACTGGGATTGGCACGATGCTTGGCACCGGGCAAAGACGGCGCGAGGATATCCATTCGATGCTTCCCCGAGCGGGTAGACAGAAACGGCGGGAAGTGAATCTATTTTTGGACAGTCGACGACTGGGGAGAGGCTAAGAGGGTGTTTGGGATCCGTTCCAGGGGGTGTCTCGGGGGTCGGAGTTCAAGAACAGGCCCCTCCAGTGGGCGTGGTTCAAGGAGCAGTCTCGGACGCCTTCCGCCGGGGACTCGGCCTCCGCTCCGAGCTTGGCGCACGACGACCTCGTGGCCGACGACGAGGTGAGGGACTTCCCGTTGTTCCCTCCGTGGTTCTATCCCAACAGATTCGGAGAGGGTACCGTGTTTACAAGATTGTAAGTCGACCGCCCCCTCCCCCACATTGCGCATCAGCAAAAGAATAAGAAAAACGTTTTCAGATGCGTGTTTTACTGCCAAAACGTGAGAACGGCAAAGTATCTGTTTCGAAAGCCGAGCCTCCGACACACGATCGATGCCTTCTGGCGTGCTTTGGCTGCGCATGCACGCGCGAGGTGCATGAGATGGCCAGGCGCTATCGGAACTAGGAAGTTTGCGCTGGAGGCAGGACAACTGAAGCACTGTCGTTCTCACTCCGTCCGCGACTAGACTACGACTCGTCTGCACTGGTGATGTCAGTCCCGTCGCCATTGCTGCTACGTTCTCAAAGCATGTCGTCGGCGCCGTCCAACGAAATTTTGCACTTCGCAAATGGCAGGATCAAGCGCATCTTCCGCGCTTGCTTGGCGATCACGTTGCACGTCACGGGTAGGGACCGATTGCGCACTTTTGCGGCATACGTTGCAAGCCTGACCTCCAACTCCGGAAGGCACCCCCACCTATCTAGACTTTGGCCTCCGGAAGCCTCTTTGTTTGCCGGCACAGTGCGCCACTGCAGACTCCACTGGAGCATCACCCGCTCCGACGAACTTGCGTCCAACAGCTCAGTTGTTGGTTGCTTCTGAGTGAAGAACGGCACTGCCCAGATCACGCGTGTCAATACAAAAAAACAACATAGTTAGCGCTCCAGCATGATCTCGTCACTCGATCAAACAATGTGCGACCAGCACGACCGTGAATCGTGCGAAAAACTGCGAGTGCGGAGAGAAGCCGCGGGGTGAGTGAGCTGTGGGGCTGTTCCAGCGGACTCGGGAGTGGCTCTTACAAGAAGTGCCGCCACCCCCCGGGAGCCAGGCGCGCCGTGTGCTGTTCACCGCCGTATATTTGGGTTAATTTGCGAATCGCTATCAGTAATACCGGTACTCGTTCGTGCAAATAAAAAAAAAATTAATTGGTAAAATGAGCGCACAGAATAGTGCAATGCTAGAGGTACAGCCGGCTGAACTTGCAACGAGGTGAGGTGTTCATGATGTCGTGATTGTTTCGTTTTTGCTGGCGGTGGAATGCTCTGGTTCGACTGTAAGTCGACCCCTCCACTTCAGATTTTCAAAAATTGAAAAAAGGGTCGACCTACATTCGTGTAAATACGGCAGGTGTCTCTCGGGCAGCTCAGTATGTACGGTGGAGTCTCCTTGATACGAATTTCACGAGAATTGAACAATAAAACTTACAATCTGAAAGTTGTACGTATGATTCGAAACATGCTCTAAAAGTTTCATGCGTACACATGCACTGTGAGAAATTTTCTTGATCCCGGAGGTAGTACAATAATGTTGATCCTGGGGGATACGTAGTCGGAATTTGGGCAGCTGGCCATGACTGCCACGAGAGTGCAATGGGCTGCTCATTGCTTTAATGCAGGGGTGGAAGCGCTGTGCTAATAGACCTTTTGCGAAATCCCCCAAGCGCCCCGGCCCGCGCGCGAGGAATGGTGGGAGAGATTGTTTCTCGCCTGGCCGCTCTGCCTTGAGATCGCCTTGTCGCTTGTCTCCTCTTAATTTTTTGTTTTTCGATTTTAATACCCATTTTTATCCATTCCAGTGTATTTTTTATTGCTTCTAAGTGTTTCTATTCTCTTCGGCGCGCAATGTTTTTTGTATATATATATATATAGTATTTGGGTCTTTATTTTGCCTTTTTCGATGGGAGTGCCGACGGACAACACGCCGCTTCGGGCGTCGTTTCCCGGGTGAGTACTACCGTTGCTACCGATTCCTATCGCGCTGCTAGCTGTTCATTTTTGGTTCATTTGACCCGCGTGCAGTCGAGAGGAGCCGTTTATGAACACCTGCGCACATGTCATAGGGGTAGGCTGAGCTCTGAATCAACAATCGCGACGCGTGAGCCGAGTGCGCTGTGATTTGGCCGCCCGCGCTCTATCCGTTGACTCACACTGCAGCGTAGGCCTTCGAGTTCCGCTTACTTGACCAAGATACAGCACGCCGCTTTGTCGCCGCAAACCATTTGTACGAATGTTTGCGAAGCTGAGGCATATGCAACGCTGCGGCACCTGACAACTGCGCGCTGCGGCGCCATCCCTTCACAAACGCCGACGGCTCAACGTCGCGGCTGGAATGCGGCTATGGCACGCCTTTGTAATCTATCTGATAAGCTGTTGTCAGTTGCCAACGTTTTTTTTCAAGTGCAGAGATGTGTTGCCGCGAATCATTTTTCCGTATGCCTGCGAAGCCGTAACACTGTTCGTCATATCCAACGCTGCGGTGCCTGACAAACTGCGCGCAGCGGCGCGAGCGGTGGCCTAACGTCGCGGCTTGTATGCACTTATGGTATATATGCCTTCTTAATGTATCTGATAAGCGGTTGTCAGTTGCAAACACCATTTTTCAAGTGGAGAAATGAGCTTTCACCCAGGCAGTTATCTTGAAAGTCGTAGTTCCTTCGATAATTTTATTTCTCTATAGTCAAGATGTCAGCTCGAGGTATTTTATTTCGTTAGGTCACCTTCAGCTCACCAGCAACATGCCAAGTGGTAGTGTGCTGTGTACCAGGCTGTGCAAACAATACTGCCAGCGCACAGCATGTTTCCTGGCACCGCTTTCCAAAAGACAGCGTCCTGTACGTGAAGCGTCTGGGTGAAGACAACTGCGTGCTGTTGTCAGGCGCCGCAGCGTTGGATATGCCGAACGGTGTTACGGCTTCGCAGGCATTCGGACAAATGATTCGCGGCAACACATCTCTGCACTTGAAAAAGGGCGTTGGCAACTAACAACAGCTTAGCAGATAGATTACGAAGGCATGCCATAGGCGCATTCAAGCCGCGACGTTGAGCTGTCGGCGTTTGCGAAGGGATGGCGCCGCAGCGCGCAGTTGTCAGGCGTCGCAGCGTTGCATATGCCTCAGCTTCGCAAACATTCAGACAAATGGTTTGCGGCAACAAAGCGGCGTGCTGTATCTTGGTCAAGTAAGCGGAACTCGAAGGCATACGCTGCAGTGTGAGTCAACGGATAGAGCGCGCGCGGCCAAATCCCAGTGCACTTGGCTCTCGCGTGGCGATTGTTGATTCAGAGCTCCGCTGCACCCTATGACATGTGCGCGGGTGTTCATAAACGGGTTCTCTCGACTGCACGTGGGTCAAATGAACCAAAATGAACAGCTAACAATGCGATAGGAATCGGTAGCAACGGTAGTACTCACCCGGGGAACGACGCGCGAAGCGGCGTGTTGTCCGTCAACACTCCCGTCGAAAAAGGCAAAATAACGATACAAATACTACAGTGTAGACCGCATATAACGTACGCCGCGGGAGTCGCGAAAATCCGCACTATAAGCGGTACCGCGCTATAACCAAAACATCAATTTTTCAGGCCAAAATACATGCCATGAGACGACTTACCTTTGTAAAAGAATTTATTTTATGTTAGATGAAAAAATAAAGCTTAGTTTGAGGAAAGTCTTTATTTCTAGTACAGTTCTGTCTCAAGTGTGTCACACATTTTGAAAGAAATGAGCGGCTTTTGCCTGGCGCAGCCCTTTAACGGCGTCGCGAATTGCGGACGGACGTTGCGAGCGTTCAGGATTGCTAACCCTAATCACTCTTCTCTGGAGATGAAAACGCATGAAAATTCGCATCCTTCGTACGGTACGCGCCAGTAATACCTTGAACTTGAGCACACGCATGAAATGCGCCAAATAAGAAATCCGGGCGATGTTCGAGGACACAAATGCTTGGAAATCACCACTGTAGTCGAAGTAAACAAACACGACGACACAGGCGTTTCTGCCGTCTTGAGAGCGCCGCCACGACATCGCCGCACGAGTAGGTGGATCTTCCCTTCTAGTATGTGCTGGGTTATCATAGCGACACACAACGGAAATTCACAGTCAAGGATAGCGCTTTTACGCGGAACGATGAGACGAACGCCGTCTACGACGACGATCACAATTGACGCCATGTTTGCGGATAGAAGCAACCGGCCCGCGACCGGCATGCAACGCGCGCGAACACTTCTCCTCGACCTGCGATTCGTCTGTCGTTGCGGTTTGTTCCCAACGCAGCGGAGGGACGCACGCACGTGAACGGCACGTGCGTGCGTCCCTCCTTCGCTATGGCAACTAAAGCCTCTCTCTTCGCTTCTCCCCGCTCCTTCGAGCAACCTCCTTGCCCCGCGTGCGGCTCGCGCCGTCAGAGCCGTTATCTAGTGTCGCACAGGGAAGCGTGCTCGCTGCTCCGGTCGTCGGCGCGATCGGCGGGCTGTGCCAGAAACCGCACTATAACCGGTATTTCCCTTCGCGCGCCTGCATTTTAAGCGGTATGTAATTACATGAAGTTCTATGGGAGGCGAACCGGTGGTTTAAAAAAACCGCGTTATACCCGGTCCTGCACTATAAGCGGTTACGTTGTAAGTGGTCTATACTGTATATATATATACAAGAAATATCGCGCACAGAAGAGAAGAGAAACACTTACAAGCAATAAAAAATACACTGGAATAGATAAAAATAGGTAATATAATAAAAAAACACAGGATTAAAAGGAGTCAAGCGACAAAGCAATGCGATCTCAGGGCAGAGCGTCCAGGCGAGGGACAGTTTCTCCCACAATTCCTCGCACGCGGGCCGGGGCGCTTGGGAAAATTGCAAATCGTCTATTGCGCCATTGTGCGCCAGTCCATTTTCGCTGCGCCATTCTGCTCCCAAGAGCAGATGTTGCGCCAAAACTAACCGGAAAAGTTTTTTTTTAACCTATATTTATTGCAGTACTTTTCTTTATTGGCCACAGTGGTTTACCGTGTTGTGTTTTAGGTAATTCTGAACGTATAGGGACTTTTATTAAACCATTACCGTGTTCTGCGTACCGCTTAACTTTAAGCACGCGCCCGAGTGATAGCGTGACCGTGGGGCGC